AAGACCGATTGTTGTAAGTTTTGTAAGACAATTTTAGTTGAACTAATCCTCTGCCTCCTTCAGATTTGAACAACATCAGCCTTAAGGTAATGTATGCGGTAGCAAATGAGACGCTTTCTTGTTTTGACATCCACTCGCTTAATATCAGCTATGGTCCAATTAAGGATGTTAAAACTGTATTGCACCACTGAGCCAACTAAAGTGTTTATGACTGATATTCTGTTTTATGAATTCAACTCGATATTTAACACCAGACGTGTACGCCTGTAATATTCTTTTCTTAATTTCTCCTTTATTTGTCTATTGCTGTATTCCATCTCATTCGCTGAATTCTAGATATTTATAGGCTTATTCTTTTTTTCAGTTTTCCTATTCTTTGTGTCAAAATTTAGATTTGTTAAGTGTGTTTCTGTAATTCTCCCTTCCTCGAATGTTACCTTTTCACATTTATCTCATCCGAAATCCATACCGATGTCATCAGTGAAATGTTTTACAGTGTTGAGGAGACACTTCAACTTATTTTCGACTTTGGCAAAGAGTTTGAGATCATCCATGTAGAGTCGGTGATTGGATACTTTCATGTCTACTGTGTATCCAGAGCTATTATTTAGTTTATGAATGAGGGGGATTAAGGACAGATAAAGCAGAAGAAATGACAGGGAGTCTCCTTAAAAGATTTCTCGTTGTATATTTAGGCTGTTGTGATTCAGGTCTAATGTTGTTTTCCACATTCTCATGCTGTGTTTAAAGAAATTTACTATCATGGGGGAGACTGTACATTTCCAAAGTCTTAAGGATTCAAGAGTGAGGCACACTATCAAAGGTTTTACGGTAATCTAGCCATGTTGTACTAAGATTCCTCCTTCTTTTCTTGTAATTGTCCAGAACCATTTTCTTTATCAGTAGTTGATAAACAATGACAAAAAGCATCAATCAATAGACTTCACTGTATTACAAGTTCACAGAGTAAAATATCAAAAGACCTAAAAACTGGATGAGCATGTCAGGGAGCTTAAGCAACTATGAAACATGAAGGTAACAGTAGTCCTAATCGTTGTTGGAGCACTGGGCACAAACCAGTAAAACTTGCAAAAAGGTTAGAACAAATGGAAATCTAAGGAAAACACTAGTGAAAAAAGATGAATAGGTTGTATTATTAACGAGATTTGTTGTCACTCAGTCTTTAGTACAAAGCACCAATTGCTAGCGGTAGCGATAATGGTATTTGAAAAACTATTTCGAGAACAATTTCGCATTATTATTATTACTGCTATTATTATTATTATTATTATTATAGATCGATTTCTGCTATAGTTACACTACCTACCAAATCTGCGAGAGGACTTAAGCCAGTGGTGTGTTGTTATAGATATATTACATGATTTTTTTTCTCCCACGAAATCATTAGCGTTGTATGGACAAAGTTCTTCCTAGTATGTGGACTGTAGTTATCAATATAATTTTTGTATTTCCAGAGTTTTTTGTGTTTTTTTTTCAATGTTGTGTTCCTTTTTTATTATTCCAAGCGCACTTACTATGACTGGTACTATTCTGGTTTTTAATTTCCACATTTTTCTATTTTGATTTCTATACTTCGATAGTTTTTCAACTTTCTTAGTTGTATGCTACAGTCCGCTGGCCAAGCCATATAATTTGGAATTATTAAGGATCCAAGAGAGTGGCACATTATCAAAGACTCTACGGCAATCTACCCCTGCTACATTGTCCCATGTAATTTTCCAGCATCATTTTATTTTTCAGTAGTCGATCTTTGCAACTGTATGAACCTCTCCGGCATTCTTTCTGTTCCAGTTTTTTGCTTCAAAAAAAAAAAAATAATAATAATAATAATAATAAAAATAAAGGAGTAAGTACGGTTCGTCAGGACAGAGAGTAATCAATTTATAAGTGCTGGGCAGACATGTTATTGGCCTATAATTTTTCAGATCATCTGTTTCACTCGTTTTTGGCATGAGATATGTAATTCCTTCAGTGATTCATTCTGAGACTTCATTATAATTATTATTATTATTAGTAGTAGTAGTAGTAGTAGTAGTATTTCTGTTGTGTACAATCCATTACTGGATTATTACTGGTGACCTAGGATGAGGCGAGTTTATAAATTTATTCATTGTTTTCACAAATTCTTATATAATATGAAACATATACAATTGATACTAAGCTTCTGAGACGAACATTTCCACACAGGGAAATATTTTTAATATTAACTTTCTTCTTTTTTTACTGTCAGTTGCAATTATTATTACAGCAATAGGGTTTCAATTTCCAGTTTCTGATATTAACTTATATCGCTATATTCTATAACAAGATATAAGTTTATCGGTTATCCATAAGAAAGTAATTATGTAGTATTTAATCACTATGTGTTGAGGAGATGAACACGCCTCTCCAGAATATGACTTGGACTCGTCCAAACAGAATATACTAACGCCGAGAATCGCCAGGTGAGAGCTCACCAGTAGCGAGCCTCATATCCTTACTACAGAATTCAGTAAGGCTACGTTGACTCCAAGTGACATTATATTTCATGTCTGTGTTATCTTCACTCAGTTCACTGAAAATATAATAGGGCCGATGAGGATTCGAATTCACACGGATTTTTTTTCTCATACTATACATAAATAGCTGGCGAACACAATTCAAAATTCAAGAAAAAGAATTTTGTGGAGTTCGTATATATTTATAAGGTGACACGGAAGCCGATAAATTCCAGTGACGTAAGACATACTGCTATTAGGAAAAAAAAAACTTTATCTTCCTAGTTAAGAACTTCTTTTACGAAAATAATACACTATGGAAGAATTGAAGATAATTATTCAGAAACTATTACAACAAATACGGCGGGAGTGGATTGAATATCGAGAACAGTTAAAGGCAATCCTGAAAAAGCAAAGAACAGGAAATGCGTCAATTTCATTTTAACCCGACTCAGTCGCTAACTCAATTAATGAATTTAATTATGTCCCAAAAGAAAACATCCTGTTCCTATCAAACTTCAGAAGGTACGAGGTCATTTTTAGGGAAGAATGTAAAGGACGGTGGGATGAAATGAAAGTACATATTCTGTTGGGAAAACTATGCCCCGCTGAAAATAAGAAATATCTAAATTTCATTTTGCGGAATACTCTAGAAATACAGTGTCGATATTATCAAACATTTTTGCTGAAGACAATTCACTTTTTTTATACACGTTGGCAGTGTATGAAGCTTACTATGGACAAAGATGAATATTTTGACACATCCGCCAGTAAAGTAAACCGTGGGTGTGAGAAATTTAAACTGAACGAACTATCCGTAGACAGATTTGAATGTCTAATATGCGTTAAAGGTCTAACATCAAGCAAAATACACTCTCGAATCGTTACATAACTTGAGCATAATTCAAAATTGACCTTACAGACTGTTGCGGAAGAGTGCCAAAATTTGTCAATTTAAGGCACGTCAGAAGAACAAGTAGTTCGAAAAAAGACAAATGAAAAATCCGAAATAAAAATACTGCCAAACTTAATCCAGGCTATGGCTGTGGTATTCTTCATTTCAGAAAGGAATCTCCATTTAAAGTCCAATAGTGTTTTATTATGAAAAAAACATGTCACAAATGAAGCTACTGAAAATCGAAAAGAAAAATAAATACACAAATTAACTTGTTGAAAAACCAGAAAGATCAAATAATAGAAAATTCGCGACAGTAAAAATGAATAACGCTACGGTGAGATTTCAATTGGACACTGGTAACGATATTATAATTATTGAGGAACAAACTTGGAAAAGAATTGGCAAGCCAACGTTATTTCGAGGTGTATTTCGAGATATGAAGTTTTCTTTCTAGATTTCTATCTAGATATACTGTTTTACTTTCTAGAAACCTGCCTTTATTTCTAGAGGTTTCTAGCTTTAAAACTGGATTTCTATATTCTTTCTTTCTATACAGATAGATAATGAAGAGAATGAGATAGATAGATAGATAGATAGATAGATAGATAGATAGATAGATAGATAGATAGATAGATAGATAGAAATAATCTGAGATAGATAGAAATAATCTGAGATAGATAGAAATGAATAATCTGAGATAGATAGATAGATAGATAGATAGATAGATAGATAGATAGATAGATAGATAGAAATAAATAATCTAGATAGATAGATAGATAGATAGATAGATAGATAGATAGATAGATAGATAGATAGATAGATAGATAGATACCAGTAATTATCTTAATACCATTTTCTTTCTTTTTCTTTCTAAAGTTTCTTGTAGATGTTTTTCTTTCAAGATTTCTATCGAGACGTCTTGATTTACTTCCTTCTAGATTTTATTCTTTCACAAATTCTGCCTTTCTTTATTTCTAGATTTCTTTCTTTCTAAATTTCTAGATTAGTTCTTTTTAGCTTCCATCGTTTTTTCTTTCTTTCTTTCTTTCTTTCTTTCTTTCTTCTTTCTTTCTTTCTTTCTTTCTTTCTTTCTTTCTTTCTTTCTTTCTTCTGTTTACAAACTCACACTTTATTGGTCGTCCTCTTTTTCTTATCTTTTTTTAATTTATCCTTGATTATTTGTTTTTAGATTCACTCTCTGAATATAAAACGACTTTTTTTTTTCCATTTTTGATTCTTCTCCCATATTTATCTTCCACTAAACGTTTCTTTGTTTATGATTTAAACTTTACAAACGCGATATCCTCGCTAAAAGATAAACCAATGCATATATTTTATAGATGTGCTGATTGTCGTCCAATATTGCAATCCTAATTTATTTCGGGTTTCGTTCATTCCACTTTGTCACCTGACAAATTCATGATTAGCACAACAAAATTTTCGTCATTTTTTAAAAGTCTTTTTTAAGATAACTTTTCTTGTTTCCTTTTCTAGGTTTAATTTTCCTTGTTCGGTCGGCTCTCAATACAGCTTGGCCTTTTTATTGTATGTTTTTTTTTCTCTCGTTTTTTATTGACTGAATTATTTATTTCTTCATTCGTTGTATGTGTTTTTCATTGTCAAATGATCAGAAAGATACGCGATTGTTTTGTTTATTTCTTTTTTTCTTCTTTCTTCCCATTTTTCTTACCAACATGGATTTTCCCCGATTGTGTTTGCTTATCTTTTGAATTCACAACGAGTGTAAACAACTTTCGCATGAATTCTTTCTTATGAGTTGTTTGAAGACCAACTAAAATTTCATCACTTTTGTCCTCCAAAAAATGTTCCATAGATTCACCATTCAAGTCTTTTCTCAACATTTTTACTTTCTTTTCTTTTGTGATTTTAATTTTGTTCTCAATATTTTTCTAGCAAACATTTCACCATTCCCATCCTTCCTTTCTCCCTCTATCCTTATTTACTCCTCTCCTTCATTCCCTCCCCTCGTTCCTTCTTTTCTTCCTCCTTTTCTTTTTTCTTTCCTTCCTTCTTCCCTTCACCCTTTCCTTCCTTCCTTCTTTCTCTGCTTCCTTCCTTCCCTGCTTCCTTCCTCCCCTGCTTCCTTCCTTCCCTCCTTTCTTCCTTCCTTCCTTCCTTCCTTACTTACTTACCTCCTTCCTCCCTTCTCTCCTTCCTTCCTTCTTTCTCGCCTTGCTTCCTTTCTTTCCCTACCTTCTTCCTCCCTTCCTTCTTTCCTTCCTTCCTTCTAACTTTCCTTCCTTTCTTTCTCTACCTTCTTCCTTCCTTCTTTCCTTCCTTCCTTCCTTCTCCCCTTCCTTACTTTCTTTCTCTACCTTCTTCCTTCCTACCTTCCTTCTCTGCTTCCTTCCTTCCCTGCTTCCTTCCTTCCTTCCTTCCTTCCTTCCTTCCTTCCTTCCTTCCTTCTCGCCTTCTTTCCTTTCTTTCCCTACCTTCTTCCTTCCTTCCTTCTTTATCGCCTTCCTTCCTTTCTTTCCCTACCTTCTCGCCTTCCTTCCTTCTCGCCTTGCTTGCTTCCTTCCTTCCTTCCTTCCTTCCTTCCTTCTCGCCTTCCTTCCTTTCTTTCCCTGCCTTCTTCCTTCCTTCCTTCCTTCCTTCCTTCCTTCCTTCCTTCCTTCCTTCTAGCCTTCCTTTCTTCCTTCTCGCCTTCCTTCCTTTCTTTCCCTACCTTCTTCCTTCCTTCCTTCCTTCCTTCCTTCCTTCCTTCCTTCCTTCCTTCCTTCCTTCCCTGCTTCCTTCCTTACTTACTTACTTCCTTCCTCCCTTCTCGCCTTCCTTCCTTCTTTCTCTCCTTCCTTCCTTCCTTCCTTCCTTCCTTCCTTCCTTCCTTCCTTTTGCCTTTCTAATTTTTCTTACCTGCTTTATAATTAATTATAAATTAATTTCTCATTTTGAAAAATTTTCTTTTTTATCCTTTTTTATTTCTATGTATTCTTTCTTTTTTTCTTTTTTCTTTCTTTCTTTCTTTCTTTCTAGTTTTCTTTCTTTCTGTCTTCTTATACTTTACCTTTTCTTTTTATTTCTCGCCGTTGTTATCTTTCTTACTTTTTTCATCATTTTCATGCTTCACACCTTTTACTTCTGTCTTCCTCTCCTTTTCTTTCTAAGCATTGTTCTTCTATTCTCTCTATCTCACGTTTTCCTCATTGTAACATTTTTCCCACCTTTTCCCTTTCTCTTTATTCTTCTATATTTTTCCTTCTCTTTCTTCTTTTCTTTCGCTTTTGTCTTTTGATTTTGAAACTTTATTCTTTATTCTTCTTCCTCTTTATTTACTTGATGAGTTATTTATTCTTCTAAAATCCTTTTTCCTTCTTTATTTTTCTTACCACTTTCCTTTTTTTATTCATGTTGCCATTTTTCATTTGCACTTAATTCTTCTTTTTTAAATCATTTTCATTCAATATTTTTCTTACCACTTTCCTTTTTTTATTCATGTTGCCATTTTTCATTTGCACTTAATTCTTCTTTTTTAAATCATTTTCCTTCAATATTTTTTAAATATGACTATTAAAAATGAAATATTTTGTCCATTCCTTCACGCCCCCCACCAGATAATATTTCATTTCCTCTTCGCTCCTTGCAGATTCCTCTTCGTTTACCCTTTTTACACTTATTGCTGATTTCAATTCCTTTTGATCTTTTAAATGTTTCTTCACAGCATATTTCACACTTTTTTCCCCCATTTTCCTTTCCTTTCCATTTTATGAATTATATGTAAGGTTCTTTCCCAATGTTTATCATTTCATTTATTTTTCTTTTATCATTATTTCTATTCATTAATTTTTAAACCATCTCCTATATTCTTTATCGTCTTTTTTTCTTTTTTCTTGCTTTCTTTCTTTTTCAATCCGGTCTTCGTTTTTTCTTTCGTCCACCCGTTCTTTTCTTCTTCTTTCTTACTTTCGTTCTTCTTCAATCAGATCTTCTTTTTCTCGTCCTTTCTTTCTTTCTTTCTTTCTTTCTTTCTTTCTTTCTTTCTTTCTTCTTCGATTCAGTTTTCGTTTTCTCGTTCGTTCATTCTTCTTCTTACTTTTTTTCTTTCTTTGATACTGTTTTCGATTTTTCGTTCAGTCGTTCTTCCTTTTTCTTTTTCTTCTTCTTCTTCTTCTTCTTTGTCTTCTTCTTCTTCTTCACTTCGAGCCGGTCTTCGTTTTCTCGTTCGTTCTTCTTCTTCTTTTTTGATCCGGTCTTAGTTTTCTCAATCCTTCTTCTTCTTCTTCTTCTTCTTCTTCTTGATCCGTTTCTCGTTCGTTCGTTCGTTCTCTTGTTGTTGTTGTTGTTGTTGTTGTTCTTCTTCTTCTTCTTCTTCTTCTTCTTCTTCTTCTTCTTCTTCTTCTTCTTCTTCTTCACTTTGAGCCGGTCTTCGTTTTCTCGTTCGTTCGTTCTTTTTCTTTTTTGATCCGGTCTTAGTTTTCTCAATCCTTCTTCTTCTTCTTCTTCTTCTTCTTCTTCTTCTTCTTCTTCTTCTTCTTCTTCTTGATCCGTTTCTCGTTCGTTCGTTCTCTTGTTGTTGTTGTTGTTCTTCTTCTTCTTCTTCTTGATCCGTTTCTCGTTCGTTCGTTCTCTTGTTGTTGTTGTTGTTGTTGTTGTTGTTGTTGTTCTTCTTCTTCTTCTTCTTCTTCTTCTTCTTCTTCTTCTTCTTCACTTTGAGCCGGTCTTCGTTTTCTCGTTCGTTCGTTCGTTCGTTCTTTTCCTTTTTTGATCCGGTCTTAGTTTTCTCAATCCTTCTTCTTCTTCTTCTTCTTCTTCTTCTTGATCTGGTCTTCGTTTTCTCGTTCGTTCTCTTCTTCTTCTTCTTCTTCTTCTTCTTCTTCATCATCATCATCATCACCTTACGTATGGCCCGTATGCAAACTAACTCCCGAACACAATACTTCTCAATTCTTCATCTTTTTTCTTCTCAATGTCTCTTGGGAAATCTGCGAGACACTTTCTCACTATCGTTTCTCTTATTCAACAATTCTTACAGTTATGACTTTGTCTCCCTAAAACTATGATAAATTTATTTTCAATTGCCAAATACAACAAAGGCAACAACACACCTTCTGGGAGGAACAAACATTGATAGAAGCGAAAATAGCACACGCGATGCTTTAGTCATTCTGTTTAGGCACAATTCTGATTGTCTACAATACGAACCCCCTTCACCTTACCCAGAAACTCAATGCCTCTGTAGTTTCCATAAACCTTTGCTTATGTCTCAAATTCGTATCTCTTTTTTTTTTATTTTAATTTACCTTCACCATTTCTTTTTCATTCTGTGAACTTGAAGGCATTTTTATCCGTTTTATTTATCTTTCCTTAATTTGCTGGGAGTTTCGTATTTCCGGCAGAAGACATCCAAATTAGAAACATCATGACTGATTCACACAAAAATTCCACTATGCATCTACATATGTATGCATAGATTGATATATATTCATAATGTTTTCACATTGGACATAAATATACAAATATATCGATAGGCTATCATACAAGGTACATATCATAATCACAAGGAGGATCTCTGGAGATAAACGGATAGATTCTTATTTTGAGCCAGTATTTTAGTGCAGTTTTGTGTTTCCGAGAGAATGTTGACTGGTTTCCTTTCGTTTTTCAAGTAGCACTAATAATCGCTTTTGTCTTATAAGCCTTTGTCGAAATCAGTTTCATGTTATATGTAGGTATGAGTAAATGAAGCTCTAATTGGTGGCAATAAACACGTGCAAAACATTCAGAAACATATTGTGATAAACTGTGAGAAAAGTTTTGTTTTTTTCCCCCATTTGCTAAACATAAAGATCTTTTTGTGGGATGACAACCTTGAGTGGAAAAAAACAGACAGGAGAAAGAAAGAAAAAAAGAAGAGAACATTTTTTAAGTCGGATCAGCAAACAACTCACAAAGATATTTAAAAAAAAAGAAAAAAGAATTAATGCTTTGAGAAATTGCAAACCAAAACAATGAAGAAAAGTAGGAAATCGTAATATCAAATAATTAAAACTAATACAGAAGAAATGATCTGGTTTAAAAAAATTACCCCAAAAAAAACACCCACTTCAAATTGCATTTCAAAACTGATCATTGAAGATACCCACCGAAATAATAGCAACTAATAGCACTATACATAGCAACTAATATCAACTAGCACTATACACAGATAGTTAAACCTATTTAATCTTATTTTAATAAATGTCCTCAATTGAACTGTTCCAATTCTTGTTCGGCTTCGAATTTCGTCGCTCCTTGTTTTGCTGGGGTCTAATTAGTACAAACCCAACCTGGGCGATAGCATCCTCATACTTCTCAATGTATTTATTATTATTATTAGTAGTAGTAGTAGTAGTAGAAAGTGGTCAGATTATTATTACTAGTAGTAGTAATATTGGTATTATTTATTATTTTTATTTTTAGTATTATTATTATTTCTATTGCTATTAGTAGTAGTATTTTTATTATTAGTAGTATTAGTATTATTATTAGTAGTAGTAGTAGTAGTTTTATTATTATTATTATTATTATTATTATTACCTTTTTAGTCTGCTTGTTTTACGCGCTGCCTCCAAGTTTAAACCAGAAACATCTAGAGACGAATCCTCATTGTTGGTATATTTTGTTGGATATGGAACTAACATTGCCAGCATCATGTTTCATAATTTTAGATTCTTGTATGATTGCGTATAGAGATTTGAACTTTCATTAAAAACTGTATGTGCATGCATAAATAAAATGAATGTATTAGTTGTGTAATTATTATTATTATTATTATTATTATTATTATTACTATTATGATTACCTTTTAAGTCTGCTTGTTTTACACGCTGCATCTAGAACAGAAGTGATGCATGAGAGGTTTATATGATCGCAAAGATCACCTACTGATAAACAAAATGATCCTGGAAAATTATAGATATAGAAATCTTAGCAAAGAATGGATAGATTAGCGTAAAGCCTTAGATATTGTGCCACTCTCTTTAATCCTAAATAATCCTAACTGATATGGTTTGTTCAGCGGACTGTAACGTAGAAATAGAGGAATTTGAAAAAAAAAAAAACTATCGAAGTATAAAATCTGTATATATCGAAATAGAAAAATATGGAAATTGAAAACAAGAATAGTACCAGTCATTGTAGACGTGCTTGGAATAATAAAAAAAAAAATTGATCACAACTACGCATTGAAAAAAAATCCCTGGAAATCCCAGCTTAACAGAAAGATAAAAAATTGTCTTGATAAGTACAACCCACACATTAAGTATTTTGACTATGTAACGCTGGTGATCTTATGGGAGTTAGAAAAATGATCCGAAAAATTATAGACCAATAACTTGTCTCCCCACCACAAGTTGATCACGTCTTCACTGACGAAGCGAATTTATTCTTTCTTCGAAGCAAGCTACATTCTTCCGCTGGTTTAGAGGGATGCAGGAGAGGTTCATATAGCTGCAAAGATTAACTACAGATAAACAAAATGATCCTGGAAAATTAAAGGAGACGATGTAGACATCTTAGCGCAACGAGGATTCATTATCGTATAAAGACCTGGATATCGAAATAAATAAAAAAAAGTTCTTTATAAGTACAGCCCACACACTAAACATTTTGTCCATGTAACCATGTTATGTAGCCATAATAACACACCACTACCTGACTTACGACTTACTGCCGGCTTGGTAAGCAGTATTAACATAACAGAAATCGAAAGATGATGATGATGATGATGATGATGATGTGAGAATGCGCCCGATCACGAATATTCTAACCCCGATGTATTATCGACGCCATTGTGACAGTGGGTCATGGAGACAGAGGAATGATGAAAAATAGGGACAAAACAATACATTAAAAAGAAAAATCATTGGAAATCCCATCTTAAGAGAAATACAAAAAAAAACGTCTTGATAAGTACCGCCCACACACTAAGGAGGACTTTGTCGATGTAACGCTAGTGATCTTATGGGACTTAGAAAAGCAAATCATAAAATGTCGCCATAGCAACACACAACTACCCGCCTTCGGTGTTCCTGCAGACTTAATAGTTAGTGTGGCCATAGTAGAAATCTAATAATAATAATGATAATAATAGTAATAATAATAATGGAAAAATGCCCTAAAAATGTTTTTTCAAATACCATTTATTCACTTCGTTGCCATACCGCTATCAATTGGTGCTTTGTACTAAAGACTGATTGACAACACATCTAGTTAATAATACAACCCCTTCATCTGTTTTCATTAGTGTTTTCCTTGGATTTCCATTTTTTTCTAACCTTTATGCAAGTTTTACTGGTTTATACCCAGTGCCCTAACAACGATTAGGACTACTGTTATCTTCATGTTTCATAGTTGCTTAAGTTCCCCAATGAGATTTACATTCTTATCCAGTTTTTAGGTCCTTTGATATTTTACTCTATGAACTTGTAGTACAATGAAGTCTATTCACTGATACTTTTTGTCATTCTTTATAAGTGGATGCGGTTTTTAGCTTCAATTGGGCAGACCGATGGAAACATATAATCTAGAGAATTTTAGCTTTCTATTCTCTAAAAAGAGTTTATGTAAATAATTTGTTTGCATTGGTTAAATCCAGTCGCTTGCATAGTTCCTAGTGAATCACCCTTCACCGCCATCTTTTATTTGTTGTCATTCTGAACTAAAAGTTCACCTTTTATTGTAGCTATTATTTTGTTATTGTTGTTATTTTTCTAAATTTCCTCTTCGTAACAATTGTCAGATGCTTTTGTTTTCATATCTTTAATTGCTTTTCATTGAATAGAAATATGGATCGAAGAATTCTTCTCAGAAGAATGGTAGTCAAATTGGAAACGTCAAGAGAGAAAAAGAAAAAGCGTGTAAATAAGATTGGGAACTTCAATACACCGATCGAGCACTGAAAAGACCTGAATTCTAAAAAGATATGGATGCTCTGAAGGGCTATTAAACGATTAAAAAAAAAGCGAAAGGGATCAGATGAATCTCAAAACATGGCACAGAGGTATCTGGATATCTGTGAAATGGTAAAGACATACAGAAATAGCTAGAAGGAATAGATCTACAGGCAGTTTAAATAACGTTAGGATCGCGTCATGGCGAACGAGAATCGACGAGACCTGCGGTGGTTTTGAGAATAGATCAGTTATGTTAAGTGATATATTGAGACGTATGGAAGATCAAAAAAGTTGTATATGAAAGTGAAGACGATAAATTAAAAGGCGAAAACGAAACAGGCGACGGAATTTAGTCGAAGCAGTTAAATATTATAAATAAATAAAATGAAGTGATAATAAACAGAAAGAAAGAAAGAAAGAAAGAAAGAAAGAAAGAAAGAAAGAAAGAAAGGCGAAGAACAAAAAAAGAAAGTCAAACAATATTTAGAAAATGAGTAGAAGGGAAAAAGGAAAAGAAAAAAGGAAGAGGAACGTCAACATCAAATACAAACACGGATAAAAATGTGTTATAAATTAATAATTGAGAAAGAGGTATAATGAAAGGCAGACAGGATCAAACGAAAATTGGAAAAGATATGAAGAGAAAAAGTAAACAATGCCAAAGAGATGAT